TTAACTGAAGGTACATCTCAACTGACAATGAGCCTTTGATTTTCCTCCTAGAGCCTTTTAAAATACTTGCATGTTTTATGAGAGGCACTTGTTGTGATTTAACAAAAATCTATGCACATACAGAGCAATTAGACTGCACTGAGACTAAGTGCGAGTGTAAGTTCAAACGTCATGCACTCAAAGACAAATGTGAGGTAGACCTGGGCATACTGTTACATGGTGTTCATCATTATCACCACCATCATCATCATCTTTATTATCTCACAAAGAGAAATGTGCTACTTTTTCTTAAGAAAGACAGACTGAGTCATTACTCCATTACTGTTGAATTAATCTTTATCTAAGGAAATAAGACTAAGCAGCAGCTGTACTGAAACCGAAGAAGCACACAATAAAATCTTGAGTGTTATGTGTGTCTCTGAATAAGATTATTTTAAATCATAATGGCAGTACACATGCAGTTGTATTATAAAAATACTTCAATAAACTTCAGCTTTGTAGAACTGTACACACTGAATGCTTTCACAGAATGCCATGCATACCTTTAAATAGCAGACACAGGCAATTCAAATTCAGCTCAACTCAATTCAACACAAGCAGCTCTGATTGTAACTGTTATGTTGTGCATAGCCAGTGCCCTTAATTGATTTAGGCTAACTGAATGATTACCAAAAAAAGTACACATTGCATTGTGAGAGTGCCATTATTGAGCTCTGCTAATGTATTGTTGAGGGCCTGAGGGAAACTAACTAAATATATTGAATTATATGACAGAACTCATGATCCTGGGGTTGAATTGAGTTCGTACATAACAATAACAGAAACAGTTTGCAGTCTCCCTTGCTAATACATATCAACAATATTTAACCTTTATTCGCCATTCTAAATGAAACGTGTTCTAAAAAGAACAGGGAACAGGTTAACTGCCATTGATTGTATTGAATACCAGGTTTCTGCCCCCATTTTTATGATTGGATTATTATAACCATAATACTTTCATTTTTGATCATATTGTCGTTGATTAAAAAGAAAAAAAAACTTTAGAAGTTTGTGAAAGAGTCAGCGCATATTTGTGTATTAATTTCTATGAAAATCTTTGCTACCCACATTGTCAAAATATTCAAAGTTTTATTCAGATGACAAATCTAAATGTATATGGAACGCGCAATTAATAGTTCCTGTCATTATCGTGATGAGTCGATCGGTTAAGAAGGGCTGCCGTCAGCAAGGCTTAATTTGAATAAACCGAACAAACCGAAATTACAACGACGGTTCAAACAGTAAGCAGTACCTAAAACATAAACTGGCTCTGTCAGTTTCAAAGTTTAAACATGGAAGTGTACGTACAATGAAAAGGTCACAATGGCATGTGGTAAAGATGCACGACTATGGGAATTTTTACCACGTACGGTATTCAGTATAAGACTATCCAATGATGTGCATACTTACGAAACCAAAGTGCTTTGCTTGAAACAATGTGGAAAAGTGTTAAACACCAAACAATGTGTGTCCAGAGGTCTGTAAATGGGTTTAAATATACAAAGAGTATAACGCAACAAGACATCAGTTAACGCTGAGAGCGTACTGCTTACATGGCATAATCTTAGCCTACCTTGATTGCTGTGAGTGGAGTCGGTGAAAAGAACCCTTAACAGCACAATAATGAGGCAGGCGTTTACTCCAGAACTCATCTCTAAAAAATCCACTGGGCTGCTCGGTAATCCTCAAAATCCATCAAAAGATGTCGTATCCAGGTGTATGTTTTTCTCAGACTACGGTCTGAAATCCCATTGAATGTTTGGGGAGAAAAAACGCACAGCCGTCTTTTCCATCTCTGTCGACAACGGAGCCCTCTCAGGAAATTACTGTATGCGAATCGGTCACATGCAAGTTTTGACTTTACGAAATGTTAATTTCTCACCCGTATCGGGTTAAATAATCAGAAATCAATTTAACTCCATGCACATCTTCTTGCTGAGAGTAAATGAGCGCGCACTAGCTCGTTGGGCACACAGTTGAAAGAAACTTGTGGTTCTTGTTTCTGCACCTGTTTCAAGCCTCCTTATAGCTATAGGTAACTAGTTCGTATCATGGCCATATCTCATTGGTAAGTAAGCAGGTGCGTGGGTCTCTGGTTCCTCTATGCGGAAAATGCGCGGAGTGCTGCTGTGTGGGACGACCCTAAAATCCCGTTCTGCGCCGGGGGCTTCTTTCAGTGAAGCTCAGTTTAGTGCAGGTCCACCCCAGCTTTGAGACAGATAACGACTGAAGCTTCTGTGGTTCAGTACACAGGACGGAGCCCAGTTTTACAACACTAAGCTGAGAGCCCGGCACTAGGGGGTGTTAGCTGACTGCAGTCTAGTGAGCAACACAAAATCCTAATTCTCACAGTTTATTGTCACATTTCTGCGTCCTTCGACATCGGTTAAAATTCATTGAAAAAGATATTGAAACAACAGTAAGATTTATTAATTTATGTATCTTCTCCTATAAGTGTTGCGCCAATGCAGCCGAAATATGGTAAGCTATGCTAAAAATAGTCATTACATACTATGTCCATAAATGCTGTAAATATATCGTAAATATTGCAAGTGCAATAGTCATAAATAATTATTACAGTGTAATGTACAGTGGAAGGCTTATTTTTCTGTATTATAAAGCGATCTAATAAATTAAAATCAGAAAATTACTTGATTTATTAATGTTTTTATGACCTTTTAAATATGAATTATGCAACACATAAGTTTATCTCTGTTCCATGCACTCTCCTAATGAGATCCATACTGACCAGTCGGTTGGTTTCTTTGTTTTCTTCATTCTGATTTTAAAATCAGATACCTGTAAAATAACCCATCAATACAATGATGACATGTCACAGTGCATTTCTCTGTGGCAGGGAAAATGACAAATGTATAAACCAGTTCAAGCTTTGAATTATATGATACTAATTAGTTCTCCCCACCCTCCTCCATTATATCTGAAACGAACAAGTTCCAGCGACCTCTGTCAAGTAAGATTAAGAAATGATATCCCCCAGTCCCCTAGGACTTCTCACAAAATTAGTGTGCAAACTTTCATCTTCGGAATTACTGTCAATAGAAGAAAATCCCACATTTAATGAACTAAGTCAATCAACTTCAGCAGGGTGGATCTGTCAAAGAGCTCACATTAAAATAATAAACATCAGTCAGCCCAGCTTAGCTAATACTCAATCACATACAAAGTTTGCCCACCGCGGGCAAGCCCTTGCCAAGTGAGTAGGCTACTTGTAAAAAACCAAAATATAATACAACGACTTTGAAGTTTTCCCAGGAAAATCCAGACAAGCAATACCAGGCAATCTCCCTCCACAGAATGAAAAAAAAAATGTAAAATGGAGCAAAGTAGCACTGTTTGATCATCCAGGTCAGATTATTAAGTACTATTATTAAGTATTAAGTATTATTATTAAGTACATTATTGGAATCACTGATCGGATCACCTGTTGCTATAGATGTCAATTAGTTTCTGAGTTTCCAGATAAAGGCATTTATAAATCTACTATATACACTATATTCTATATAGCTGAATATTTATGTGAGCAAATAAGATCATTGATAATGCAGGCTAAGTGCATTACTTTTTTCAAAATTACAGCAGTATGCCACCCAGGATTCAAACTTGACATCTTCTGGTGATGAGTCTTGCTCTTTTTTAATAAATGAAATGTAGCTAAAATGTAAAAACTCACTGTATAGAGAAGAAGGCATATTCAGCTTCTCTGTGTAGAATTTACTGTCTGGAGACAGTTGGATTCAGACATTTAACAGATGTTTACTATTCTAACATCTTGACTCCTAATTTCATATAAGTGTATATCCAGCTCTGTGGTGCTTGGTAGGCTGTCAACCTGAAGAGGTGGGGTGCCCAGAAGAAATCTTTGGCACAATCACTCTAAAATGGTTAGTCTTTGCGACTGCTGAGGGGGGAAGACATTACTTAATTCTACAGTCAGGTCACCAACACATCCAATACAATGCAAAACAAATTTTATTTACATTGAGTAACCATTTTCCCATACATTATGAAATCGTCTATGCAAGCAAGACCAAGGTTATGGTTGCAAGAAGAAACACAGAAACACCCACCAAGGACAAAGTAGGAGAGTAACACAGGATGGACTATTCATTTGAACACAAAATATCTTATAGTCCTTAATATCCTATAGTTCAACATTTGAGGACAGTGCAGCTTTCTAGGGTTCCCTGTGTCTGGCTCATGCCCCTCTATGTTGTGTCTTTTCAGAATTGAATACTGTCCTTTCACTGCAAACTGCCTGCTTCCCATGAAAACATACTACATATAAGGCATGAAAACAAGGCAAATAATGCTTCCACAAAAGTAAACACTGACTAAGCATTGCGACCATTGCAAACCAATTAAATGTTCTTGAATGATTTCTGCAACAACTATATAGGGTAGAATAAAGAAGAGCTTGGTGTGACAGCTAATGACAGTAGATTCTGCTGTGTAGTAGTTTCTGCCATGCAAAAAGGAGCGGCAATAACTGTCTAGCACCATAGCAAAATGGAGGTAAATAGATCATTCTGGGCTGTTTCTGACACACCACAAAACAGTTGAAGAGTCAGACTACCAAGCTAAAACATTGTCATACCAGCTATATTACCTGGGCTAACTCCTTTTAGTTCTGCTTATTGTCAGAATCTTTGCCCTGACTGTACCTTCTAAAAGCCTATTTCTGTTGTCCCAGAAAGGAGGACGCACTGATTAAAAGTCTAAAACTGCCCTATTTTTCTTCATTGTTTCATGATGCTTTGCCACTTGCTTACTGAATGTTCAACCCCTTTTACATTATGTTGCATTACAATATGATCATTTAGCAGACACCCTTATCCAGAGCAACTTACAGATTTTTTTTTTCTTGTTATCCATTTATACAGCAGGGCATTTACTGAGGCAATTGTGGGTTAAGTACCCTCCCCAAGGGTACAACAGCAGTGCCCCAGTGGGGAATCAAACAAGCAACCTTTTGGTTACAAGCCTCATGCCTTACCACTAAGCCACACTGCTGCCCCTTTTCTGCCCAGTAGACATAACATTAATCTAGTGCTTCCACAGACATGCACTTTCAAATTCTCATGCCTTCTGCAATCTCTGTCAAAAGTGTGGAGATCATCAGATCCCATTCTTGACCATGTCAGCAGACTGGACCAGCAGTACATTTGCTTGTTGACCAAGCTAAGAAAGCTATTCTACCTTTTTATATCAGTTTCTGCATTCAGACTTTCGAACCAGATAAGTATCATTGCTGACTGGATGCACTGTGCTCTGTTTGAATGGAAGTTTTCAATGCAACAAATCACATAAAACCAGATCCACTACATTGACCATGTACAGCCATCTATCATTAGTCTGCTAGCTAAAATAGTTAGAAATATTTAGCTAGAAGTAAAGGAAGCCAGCAGTTATGTTAGCTAGCTAAATACAACTGTAATTGTAAAAAACAAAAATAAAAACCTATGGATAATTTGTAGATCTTCCAGTTTAACAAAAATGAAACAATGATTTAAATTCCACTCTCCAGCTAAATTATTCCCATCAATTTTCTCATTCATTATTCTCATCATATTCTCATCCATTCTCATAATCATTCCAGCAGTTGCCTCAATTCACTATGCACGTACAAGACACCAGGGTTAGTGATGTAGTATTTATAAAGAGGTAGACTGATTGTCTGTAAGGTGTTTGAACCTAGTCTACAATCCTCTGTCAAAGCCCCTGAAGGAGCTTTGTACAATTAGATATGAAGGTAGGCTTCCAACTGGGGCTAAATCCTGACTTGAACTGGACAAGAGGTGATTTTAAAATGTACAATAGCTGCCACTATTTCACCAAATATTTCAAGTCAAAAGGACAGCTGTAAGTGCGTGCAATTTTACTTTGTATCTGTGCATTTTTAATTATTTAACAAGAAAAGGCAGCATTAAAAAATACTAATTTGAAAAATGACACAGAAGCAAGACAAAGTAGCAGCTTGAATTTCTCAATCTCAGCAATAAACTGTGACAGTGACATCCAGTGTATGTTCTCTATCCACAAGATAAATACATAAAAAATAATACTTATTTCAGTTCTCAGTCATCCAGGTTGACAGAGTCTCCAAATGAGCTGAGTTCCAGTGGATTCTGTGTTATTATTTATGCTTACCTCTGTGAAGCCTTCCTCCCCACTGATATGCATGGGATAGTTAAAAACTCATTTTGCTCTTATCGCAGAGATAAAGCACCATTCTGGGTAGGGCAATTATTACACCACTGGCTTCTCTCATGGAATCCACAGAGACAAGATGCATGCCTAATGGACCATAGACTATAATCTGAGACTCAGCATTACTGAAGTAAGAGGAGCAAACAGAATAAGTCTAATATCAGCATGTGAACTGGGTGGCTAAAGTTCATAAGGAATAATTATATAATAGATAAATTATACATGCCACAATGGCCCGTAATGATAAACTACACAAATTCATGTAAGAACATTAAAACAAAACTGAAGAAAAAACATTTAAATCTTTATAGTCATTAAAATCAGATTTACCATAGAAAATGAAACCAAATGCAACCTAATATACGTGCATGCGGTGTATGCTGTGTCAGAAGCTTTTGAAAGGTGTGCGTTAATTTGCAATCTGAGAATTGTCTCTGATATGTTGTAATACAGAGGTCAATAGTACTGGTGCATACTAACAGCTAGCAGCTTTTCCAGCTTTTATAGATCTCTTAGACAGAAAAACAACACCTTTATGTACAACTGATTAGTATTTTATGTACAGATGAGATTACTTAAAGTCAAAACTAGCACAATGAAATTTCTTTCTGCTTCCATTCTTTCAATTAACTCAGTGAGTAGCACCCACCTAGGCACTCATTTTGCATTATAATACTGCACATATATCAGCTGAGGTGAGTGGATTTATTCAGCCTATTAGACAGGGGAATGGACAACCAGATTTTTTTGATGAACTGCTGCTTGTACTAGTATTACTTCCAGCTTATTTATTTGTTGTATATCTGTGCGGTGTGGATATTGTGATTAAGAAATATTGGATTTGACTTCCCATAGTTTTCCAGGCTGTCTAGTTTCAGTTTACTTCTGGAAGTGCTTGAATGACACTCACTGAGTGTGCATGGCTACAGTCTTTTCTCTGGATAAAAATGTCTGTTAAAATAATGTAATGAATTATGTAAAGAATATATACAGTGGTGACTGTAAAGAGTCAACATTGTGAAGTTTTAATGAGTTATTTTCTAACTGTGAAAGACCAGTCTCAACAGTTATAAGAGCATTTAAGTTGACAATATGCTGGCAGAGAATGGAACGCAGTGAGAGAAGGATTGTGTGTGCCCAAAGAAATCAACTCTAGGCATGCCAAAAATAATAATTACTATTTTAATTTCTCATATACATTTTTCTTTTTTCATTTTTTTCTTTTTTTGTTAATTTGTTCTTGTGTATCTCTCTTAGTTGATTCTATACAATGGAAATAAAATAAAAAGGATCACCCAGGGCCACACAGCAACAGTCTGTGAGACCTGCAGATTCTTCCTATACAAAAACAGAGGAATTCATCCCTCCCCCCCCCCCCACCACCACTTACTCAACCCAACTTTTGGCACAAGCCCTGGCTCTCTCCCGCTTGGGCTACTGCAACTCCCTTCTTGCTACCTTCCCTGCATGTGCATTCAGACCCTTGCATCTTATACAGAATGCTGAAGCTCAGTTGGTCCACAGTGTCCTCAGATTCTCCCAGGTCTCACAACTCCTGATCTCCCCTCACTGGCTACCAGTAAGGGCGCATATGTTTCTAAACACTGGTGTTAGGGGAATAGCTCCCTCTTGTCTTCAATTTATCACCGTCCTTACACACCAGCTAAACCACTGCACTCAGCTTGGCTGTTCCCCCCTCGTAACCTCACATCATAGTCATGCCCACTGTCTGTCTTGGCCTCTTGTGGTTCTTATGTGCAGTTATATACGTGGAAGCGTACTTCAGAGTTTTATGTACGTAATTGGGGATGTGGTGGTTCACTTGCGTTTGTATGGCATTTGTTAGCATTATATTTGGAATGGTATAGCCCTTAGGTCACACATATTGCTTTGCGCATATCAATCTAGCCATGCATTTGTGATCTCAGCACTATGTTTGGCACTGGCACTTGTTCATGAAAAGGTTAGTGGTGTCCTGTTTGTGCAGTTTTTATGCCACTTTATTAGATGCTCTGTGTAAGCCACTCTAGATAAGACTGCCTGTTAAATGACAATAATGTAATAAGCAGAGCAGGGCAGTAGATAATTTATGCTCTGTTGACTGATGTGCATTTTGGGCCAAACTGACAGGATGCTAACAACATTTCGCTCTGGGAGACAAAATGTAAGGTTTCAGTGCAGTCTTATCTGCAGTAACACGAAGTAACATTTCAAACTTCTGATTTACTATGTTGTTACTGCAGGTTGCTGTGTGGCTGTGGACAGCATAGGGTTAATTCCCAATCTTCTCATATATCCTTGACAGTTTCAACCAACACTCACAAGATTGATGTTGAGGTTTACAAATTGTAACAATAACCTTACATTTACATTTACGTTTCTTTATTTGGCAGAATGTCTTATCCAGAGCCACTTACAAAGCAAAGAAAATAAATCCATTCAATAAGGCTGTGCAAACAACTGTACACACAGAAAATGTTACACCGTGTTTGGATGAAAGTGTCAGTGTGACAGAGTGATACAATAACCTGTGACATAATTGAAATAGACTAAATAATGTGCCACAATAAAACATCAATAACATAAAAATGTCAATGCATAAATCAAAGCTATGATACCCTTTAAATGCTATTTGAAAAAGGAAGATTTAAGTGTTGTAACAATTAATTAGTTTAAAAGCTAGGTTGCTGTCTGAACATGCGGCTCTAGGATGGCCAGAAATTTTGCTTTCCTGACCACTGCAGGAAACTCATTCATGTGGTGGCTAGAACAGACAGGTGCATGACCAGGAGCTACAATAAATACATTTAACAATATAAAGATGTACCTATTGTAAGGTAAATATTACAAAACAAACATTATGCAAAGATGTTAAACAATAAATTTCTACAACAACATAAGGACAGCCTATATTTATATGGTCAATGTTCTTCCTCTGCCGTCAACACACTTAAACTGATGAGAAACCCTGCTGCTTAGCTGGTCTTTAACCCTGTCTTGCATCTCCTTGTCCCTCCCTCACTGGCTTCCACACTTCCTGACTATTACAGATCTTTTTTGCTAGGCTGCTGGACTGCATGACTCCTTCCTACCTTCAGTTCATCTTCACATCTTATAGTTACCTGAAATCATCACACAGCACCACAAAATCGCTCCCTGATGAGTTACCTAGCTATCTGGATCAAAATAAATAAACTAGCTAACAAGAAAGACAAATCCTGTTTCAACTTTTTTGATAGATAGAGTAGCAAATCTGTTAACAATCCAGCTCAGCTGATTTTCAACCTGATTTGCTGGTTTGCTGCCTTATTATCTGACTAGTAAATTTAGGTAAGTTTCCCTAAGTAATCTTATTAGCTGTCCAGCAAGTTGGTTAACTGCCTCAAGGCCTGTGTTTTAATCTGGCTAGTGGATGTGAGTTTGCAAACTTCAATTTTTTTTTTTTTCAATTTAAAAATAAAAGTTATTTTTTTCCTATGGAAAATATTTTGCCATATTAGCAATGTCATTAATATTTTGGTCTCTAGTGGGGAGCAGTGTAGCATAGTGGTAAGGAGCAGGGCTTGTGAAACAATACGGAAATCCTTTAACTTGCTTATGCAACTACCTTCTGCTTGTGGGATCCCCCTGCCACCTCCCCTATCTCAAATCACAATGTAATTGGATGATTCCCCAGTCAATTTACAGAGACGTTTACACCCTGTCTTATCTGAGCTGCCCCAAGAGCCAGTTCACTCATCCCATACGGCATCCTCAGTTTCTTGACAATTAAGTATATTTTGATTGTATGCCCCCTTCATTTG